GTTCTAGACTGACTTGCTTTTTTAAAGCATTGTTCTTTAATTTTATTATTGTGATCAAGATGGTCATGCAAACATTCCATAGGTTCTTTCTTAACTTTTACCCTAAGCCCCATTTCTTTCTTGCTTAGCAGTTCTTCCTGTTGCCAAGGTTGAGATGACCTACTTTTGATAGCAATTCCCAAATTGCCTTCAGGTATTTACATGGGGAGCAAGAGGTTCAGTGGGGTCTGTCAAGTATTGCATGAGGGCACATTACCGTGCATGTGTCTCCTTGTTTTTATTCCATATCTTGTTTCCCTCTGAACATCTCTATGTTGCAGGTTCTCACCAGAAAATACAGAACTTCTTACAACTTTAGAATTACTCTACTTATAGGTAATAAAAACTCTTGATTCATTAATGCGTTGATGTTAGAAATGCTTTTGGGTTTGTGTGTATGGTGGTTTTCCTGCATTTTGGTATTTATTTTACTAAAGGTCAAATATAGTACATGAACTACACTCTATTTGATTTTCTTTGCTAAAGGAATTAATTTTCTGCATTTAAATTAGAAACAATTATATTTTAGCCTAGTGCAACTATAATTCTTATCTAGGCTGGGCATGGTGCCTCATGCCTGTAATCTTAGCACCGTGGGAGGCTGAGGCTGGTGAATCACTTGATTCCAGGAGTAGAAGACCAGACTGGGCAACATAGTGAGATCCTGTCTCTACAAAAAATACAAAAATTAGCCAGGCATGGTGTTGTGCATCTGTAGCCCCAGCTACTTGGGAGGCTGAGGTGGGAGGATTGCTTGAACTCGAGAGGTAGAGGTTGCAGTGAGCTGAGATTGAGCCACTGTACTCCAGCCTGGGTGACAGAGTCAGACCCTATCTCAAAAAAGTTCTTATGCAACCCAGGAAAGAGCATATATGAGAAATAACTCTGGTGTTGGGGGCTTGTTACTTTGTTTTAAGGAGAGAAACTGACACAAGTAAGCACTTCTTAGGGCTTTGGGGCAAAGCCATTTCTGTTGATCTTTCTTCCCAGCCAAGGTCTTACTGGAAAGGGAGAAGGCAAAGCATACTTTATTTAGAATAAGAAGTCTTCAGTCCCTCCACATTCCTGAATGTGAATGGGATTCTTTTAGCTCCATTGATTATCTTGCTGAGGATCCAGTGCCCAGATATCCAAGGGGCCTTTCCCCCATCTCCAACATACACATTTGCCAAATTCCTTGTTCAGCTGATTCTGCCTCCAGCCCTGCCTCTATGGTGGCCTTTATGTCGATTTCGTTTTTCCTTAAAAGGAATCAGGAGCTTAACCCTGGGTCTTCCTGGGCTTTGGCTTGGGAGGCTGGCCCCACGGGAGATGAGGATACCCAGCTCATTTTCTGTCAAGAGGCATTAATATGGAACAGTATTAGTGTGGCAGAGATGGTTCCTATCAAATATACTTTGACCTTATCAGGGGACAAATTAACAAAAATAGAAGGAGAACCATGACTGTGGGGATATTTAGTTTTCTTTATTATCTGGTAGCTGTAGCTGCTTTTTTTTTTTTTTTTTTTTTTTTTTGGTCAGGAGAACTCAAAAACGCCAGGGCATTTCTGTTCTGGGTGTAATTGACCAGACTCTTTAACTGCCATCTCCTTGCTGATATAAATTGTCTTGTTTGTTTTTTTTCCAAGCTCGGCATTTACCAGAAGGCATTTGAACATCTTGGCAATGCACTGACTTATGACCCTACCAACTACAAGGTATTGCAGGCTGTGAAGGCTCTGGCCTTCATGTAGGTGGTCCCATTGCTCCTAGAGGTGATCTGACCCTGGAAAGCAAAGGAATAGCTTCTTCAATTTGAATACATGAGAAATAGAAAAAATATAAATAAAAGGGGGTTCTTCTTATTTGAAAATCTTGAAGTATGCTCAACTTCTAAAAGTGCACATTTGTTATAACGGACATGTAAGCCCTGCAGAAAGCAAAATCATAGTGATAGTAAAGCTTAGGTGTTAACGTAGGAAATTAGCAATGCCTCCACAACTATTGTCAAAAATAATTCTGCTGGGCATGGTGACTTATGCCTGTGATCCTAAGACTTTGGAACGCTGAGGCAAGAGGATCACTTGAGGCCAGGAGTTCAAGATCAGGCTGGGCAACCTAGACCCCCATCTCTGCAAACAAAATTATTACCCAGTCATGGTGGCACACACCTGTAGTCCTTGCTACTCGGAGGGTGGAAGAGGGAGGATCACTTGAGTCCAGGAGTTTGAGGCTACAGTGGGCTATGATGGCACCACTGCACTCCAGCCTAGGTGACAGAGTGAGACCCTGTCTCTAAAAAATAATAATAATTATGTTGAAATGACCTCTAGAGTCCTAAGGATCTGATACTACAACGTTTGTCTAGATGTGACTTTGGGAATGAGAAGGAATAGCATCAAATTGATGAATATCATTGAGGAGATGTAGTAAGACAAGCTGTATATTGAAGGATACAAACTGAATTCCGATTTAGGAAGTCATAATAGCCTGTCAGCTCCTCACCTTGATACCTTTCCTTAGGGAAATGAAAGGGCTTGGCTGGTGAAGCCTACAGCTGACTCACCTTCTGTTGTAGGAAGAAATGTACCTTAAATATCCATGTATGGGTGTATTTTAGGTGTCTAGAACACTTGGTGTACCAAATAGGGGCTGCAGAGAACAGATTAAGTTTTTACTTAAAGGGCCCTGGTATTCACTTTGAAATACTGACTTTCCTGGCTAGAAGTAGGAAACAAATTAGATGGGTAAAGCAAGTAATATTTTATCTTTTTTTGTGCTCTGCAAACAGAGCCGCAGTATAGGGTGCAAGGACATTCCTCAGGAACATTTGTCCCAGTAGCTTGGCTATACTGTTTATGTCCCTGGAAGAAATTTTTTAGTCCCATCTGTGCTGCTGGGCCTGCTGAATGTCTATAGACTCAGGAAGGCTGCCTCACTGCTATAGCCTTTTGGGAATGACTGATTTACTTTCTATGTGCCATGTTTTCAGGCCATCTTGGCAGCAGGCAGCATGATGCAGACCCATGGGGACTTTGATGTTGCTGTTGCCCTCACCAGATACAGAGTTGTGGCTTGTGCTGTTCCAGAAAATCCTCTACTCTGAAATAACATTGAAATGTGTTTCTTCGGCAAGAAGAAATATGTGGCAGCCAGTATCCCCTCATGTTCTTTGTTTGCATACATACATGTGGTTATTGGGTCTTCTTAGCTTGCCCCACTCCCTCATTGACTGCTGCTTCTCTCTTATAGGCCATCAGCTGCCTGAAATGAGGCAACTTCTTGGCACCCTTCGATTGGAAGATTCTGTATAATGTGGGCCTTGTCCATTTGACCGTGCAGCAGTATGCATCAGCTTTTCATTTTCTCAGTGCGGCCACCAACTTCAAGCCAAAGATGGGGGAGCTCTATATGCTTTTGGCAGGTAAGAAACATTTATGTGGAAAACTCTCTCTGCCATTTGTAATGAGGGAAAAATGGATTCAAATCATAGGAGATCAGTGGATGTCTTATAGGAGCCATTTTCTTGGAGATCCTATAGGAATCTGGATTACTCTTCTGGAGCTTAAAGAAATAACAAATGATGACAAAGGAACTTGATTGTTTCTAACTTGATGGAGTTCCACTCAAAGACCAACAGGTTAAATAAAGATAATCCCTCGTTCACCTTTTACCAATTTTTTCCCCTTGCTGTGACAATTCATTTATATATATATTGAGTCCAACTAAGTTCCAGACAACAAGTGTTAAGAGCTTGGGTTTTAGGTCGGGAACCTGCTTCTCCTATTTACTATATGTACCTAGGCCTAGTGTGAGGATTGCATGATTAAACACTCAATAAATAATAGTGGTTTTGTTGAAACACTGATTTTTGAAAACTTGGTTTTATTGTGGTTATATAACTGGTCTATTATTATCAATATTATTATTATAATTGGCAAGTCAAGCTACCTTATGTTGAAACCCTTACCTCTTCTGAGCATGTTGTGTAGAATGCTATTCTCTTCCTGAAACTCAATTTTATACCATGCAAATACTAAAATTGATCATGAAAATAAGTTAGAATTAAACACTTTAAAAATTATACAAAGCCATTTAATTTTAAATTACTGACTAAATAGTCTTCCTGTGAAATATTTTCTCCATATACATTTACTTACCAAATGTAAGACCCGAAGAAGATTTCCATGTCCTCATTTGGCAGTGGTCTTCCAGTGGCTTTTTGTTCATTACTGTGGGGTTCTTATTTATAAGCGAAAGCTTGTGAAAGCAGTTGAGGCATGGTTATTTGAGAGTTGCCTGCATACAGAAATAACTTTTTTTTTCCCCCATTTATTTATTTTATTGCATTTTAGGTTTTGGGGTACATGTGAAGAACATGCAAAATTGTTGCATAGGAACACACGTGGCAGTGTGATTTGCTGCCTTCCTCCCC